AAGATGGAGAGTCCCTTTCTTTAGGTAGTATCCAATGTAATAAAGGAGATGGCATTAACATCCAGTGCAATGAGAGACCAACAGAAAAATGATATAAAACTCACAAGGTGGCTCGAGTGTGCTCTGGCCCACACATGCTGGGGAAATCCAAAGGAGGGGTGTTGGAGGAGCTTATATTAGAAACAAGGATCCTGGGTCACCTGGGTGGCTCAGTCGGTTAAGCGTCCGACTTCAGCTCAGGTCATGATCTCATGGTTCATGGGTTCGAGCCCCATGTCAGTGTGTGTGTGTGTGTGTGTGTGTGTGTGTGTGTGTGTGTGACAGAGAGAGAGAAGATAAAAACCACCATCACTGAGTGCCAACTCTCTGGCAGGCTCTGAGCTGGGTGCTTTACCTAAATCACATGTCATCCTGACAATGTTAAAAGGTTTGGGACAGCATCACCATTTGATAGAGGAGAAAAATAAAAACTGAAAGCAAAGTTAAGTGACCAAAGCTCCAGAGTAATCCAGCTGACTCCCCAGTTTGCTCACACCCCCCCACAGCTCACGCAGGTTAGGTTCACTGAAAGGCTAACCCTGTGCTGGTAGAGTTGGAGAGGAGTAAGTCTGGGAAGTGGGGAGATGAAAGAGTGTGAATTTGCCTACATTCATGGAACATCTGAATGAAGGAGAAGGGCTCGAATACCCTGTAACAGGTAAAAGTTAAAGCCAAAGGCTTAACTGAAGTAGTTTCTAAAAACAAAAACAAAAACAAAACACATATTTTAGGTACCTCTACATATCAAAGTGTAAATGCACAAAATCTGGGGTGATATTGTTAATATTTTTATGCAGCATGTAATTCTAAGAAATTTGGCCATTTAGAAATCTCTCACAGCAATATAGAACAAAGCAGGAGGAGGTGACGCCATTACTACTGTAGAATAGATGATCTGACTTTGAAGACAAACAAAAATTCAAAAAGCAATCTAAATCCAATGTAGATTTAAGCTTTCTCACACCATGATGACATATATTCAAATAGTAAATGCACAGGGCATCAAAAAATGATTGGTTAATGTTAAGAAACATATCTTTAAGAAGATCAGGAATTGTTCTTATATGGTAAAAGAACTTTCAACGAAAATGGGAATATATGATTATATGGAAAATTAGAGACATAAATACAATATTCCTGAGGTTCTAAGCTTCAGATCAGAGGCAGCAGGTTGAATGGATATACCCACATCCACAGCTTCAGAAGAAATGGGTTGGAGTCCAGGCTTTCCCAATTGCTGGCATAAATTCTTGGACTTTACCTATCTGTGACATAGCCTCTCTGGCTACAAAATGGGAAAAAACACCCAAGCCACCTTCTCTCCAAGGCTTGTAGTGAGGATCAAATGAGAGAATGGCTACCAATGTGTCTTACAAATTCGAAGGATCATGGTCATGGTTACCATTAGGAAAAAATCTCATTGCCTTCAGTGCAGGCTTTATGAGTTGGCTTTGCACCTGGAGTAGTTGCATGATGTGACTGCTAGTCCCATTGTAGTTTTCTTTTTCTCGCTGTTTCTAGAGTCCTGCCAATCCCAGGCAGGGGAAACTGCATTTTGACTTTTGTAAGCAAAGTGGCTCTGAACATTTCATGCAGTTTTGGTGTATACACACTTGCATGTCTTTAATGTATATCCTAGTGATGAAGTTGCTGATAGATGGGGTTTGTACCTCTTTGCGCCTGATAAAGTGAAACAGCTATTTGACCAGAGATATAGGTTCTTTCAGATGGCTAGTGGATCACTACCATAATCTAATGAGATTGTCATATTGTGTCACAGTGTGTGCTAATCTATTTCATACAATTGAGAAAATACATCATGCCCTAATAGCAGTGGAGAAATTAAAAAGAAGTGAATTTGTAATAGAAAGATAGGTAACATTAATATGCAGATGCTGGCTTACAATCACACTAGTACACATGAAGAAGTTGTCAGAAGGTGTCAGAAGTTCTCAGAAGACCATCTGATAGAGTCGTCATGAATGTGAGAGTTACAAATGCAGGCTAATAAATGAGTATTGTGTGGACAACTCAAGGCCCATAAGTGCCATTTCTGCTGGTGACAAGACATGATTTTCTGAAATGAACAACTGTTGGAAGAATTTCAAACAACAGTACTATCTTGGTTTAAACAAAGGAAAATTCATTGTGTATTAAAACCACACATAGAGTAAAATATTTTATGTATACGTAAAGTGGAATTAGGTTCAGATAATAACAAATAGGTGTATCAGCTATCTGGAAGCCCAATGGGTCATTAGAAAATTGTGCAGAGAATGAGGGAATATTTGTCATGCAAACTTATCTCGTAAATTCTATTTGGCTTCCTTGGTGTTCATGCATTAAATGTCAGGCTCGCCTTCCAAATACTGCGACGACAAAAACATCCTTAAAATTTACTAAAATGGCAACCATTGGGAAAAACTCTAGGTCAACTCAAACTGACTTAAAATATGAAAAGGATTGCTATGGTTTTCTTTCAGTTCTTCTCTCTGCAACAGTTTCAGCGTCAATGTAGCAGGAAGATGGCTGTGGTACTTCTGGGACGATCATCTGTACCAAACCTCATCCAGAGGAAGAGAGACACTGTATGCTTTGGTGAAGAGCCACTTTTGAAGGAGTATCAGGACACATCCCTTAGGTCTCATTGGACCAAGTTGTAGCCTTACAATTCCTGAACTAATCAGTAGACTTACTCTAGCCCGGTCAGTCTCACTCTTGGAACTGGGAGCTCAATTGGCTTTCTTTGAAATAGAGAAGCAGACAGAGAATGTGTGGATGCCTAAGAAAAAGTCAAGGATGAAGGGAGAAATGGATTCTGGGTAGGCAACCTAAACTGTCACCACCACATTTGTAAGGTTGAAGATTGATTTTATTCAAGGACATTGCAGGTGTGTTTGTTCCTTAAAAGACCACCTGGCCCAGAGGTTACATATATATAAAATGTGGCAGATTCCAAAGGGGTAGATAGTCAGAGTAGCTGAGCAAGGGAGTGGGAGCCCGGGAAAGGAGGAGGCGGGTGTTACAAGTCTGGACGAGCTGCCTCATAAAAGGATCAAAGTCCTGTGGGATCCCACTGCCAAAGCTCTTGCAGTGTGTGACAGGAACCCAGGTGAAAGATGGGCGTGAGTGGAAGCTGAAAGAGACCCCTTGATGATTTCCTGAGGAAACTCACCTGTTTGGCAATGACTTTGCTCTGCAAGTTTTTCTCTTGCATCCACATGTCCTCCTCACCTCCAAATCCACAGGAAAGCATGATGGTTGTGAAATTGAAAAGCAACTTTTGGCAGATGCAGGTAACTCAAGTTCAAAATTAGAGGGCACACAGTACGGTTTAGCACCTGTGTCACCATTCTGGACTCCTTCCTCTCCTTTGCCCTGTTCTCAGGCACATCTCCAGCCCTGCCTGACATACCATCCATATAGTCTCTCTCAATCCATCTAATAATTACTTCTGCTACTGCCTTAGAATCATTCCCCCCCCTACACACACACACACACACACAAACACACACACACACACCCCACATCTGTGTTCAGCCTTATCCCTGCAATTCTTCCTGCTTGCCACAACCATCTAGATTTTCTTAAAACAAAGCTCTTACCTTTTGCTCCTTCTGCTTAAATACATTTGGGGAATGTCCATTGCCTACACGACAAACTATAAATTCTTATCCTGAATGTATGAAATGCTTCTAAATACTGGTCAGCAGTTGGACAAACGTGTGTTGCTCTAGGTGTTAGGCAAAGAACTACAGAGCATGAGTTTTCATTGCTCTCCTTCTTATAGCCTATATGTCAAACCACATTTTTTCTACCCCTCAGAACTTGTGGAACATCAACTCTTCTTGAAGTACTTCGTTTATGTTTCTCCCATGGCATCTATATTATGGTCATGTGTCTTCCTGACTGATATCCTTACAATCTAGATCATGAATCGGGCAGCACTGAATTCCTTCATCTCCTTCTGAGGATCCTAGTATCTGGCTTGGTCTGTGGTAAAGATGTATACTCATTTATGAATATCTCCTGTAGTTCTGGGATTATCACAAATTGTTCTATTCCTTTAGTCTTCACTCCATTGAAATCAGAAAAAACTGACAATACTTACAATACATACATTTTTATCTTTAATAAGTTACTTCTCAACCTGGAGGTTGATTCCCCAATGTTTAACAATTTGGAGGTTAGGTGGGGGGAAGTCTTACACTATTTTTTTTTTTTTTTGGCTCATTCTGGATTTGGAATTCATAATAGCACCAGCTTGAAACAACAACTACTGATATTTTGGTATATGTCATTCAAGTCTTTTATCCCAAATAATACTTATAGCTCAGAAATTGCAGAAAGAATAAACTTATTTTAATCTTGCTTTCTTTGCTTGACATTAAGCTGTAGTTTTTCAGCCAGAAATACTTGCCAGGAATGTTTCACCCATTTTTTTTGCTACTATAAACAATAATGTGATGAACATCTTTGTGTACAAAGCCTTTCTTACATTAGTAATAGTTTCCTGAAGATATACTTCCAGAATTGCAATTGCTGGGACAAAAGGGTCTTGGCTTTGTTTTTAGAAATACACTTGAAAAGACTTCCATGAGCAAAGATGTCTGCTTAGCAGAGATCTGAGAGGGGGGTTAGGTATCTCTAAATTCCACCAGCCTGGCCTAATTTATTTCATGACTGTGTTAATGTTTGCCTTTGCCTTCTTCTCAATTTCAAGAAAAAACACAAAACTCTGAAATTGGATTCAGAACTAACTTCTCCCTCTCACTTATAAAGTGTGCCTTCTTGATGTTCAGAGGATGAGAACTTTAAATCTCTCTCAGAGAAAACATGCAGTGAAATTGGAGATGGTGGGACTCCCCCTTCCCAGTCATCTTTAAATGAATGTGTTTTCCCAGTGCTTTGGGAGGATTTGAAAACTCTGACAAAGTAAAATCAAGACCAATCCCACATAATTCAGTGTCTTAGCAAAGAACTTTATTTCTCTACTACTAAGGTCGATATGTGCAGAGACAGCCTGTCCTTGTCTTGAGTTAAAAAACAGTGATTTCTGTTGAAGGTCATCTTGCCTAGGGGGGGAAGAAAAAGATTCGAACTTGGCAGGGAGGCTGTCGAGGCTGGTGTATCTTTGCCAAGGACCTTTGATATGGGCACCCTGGGAGAGCTTCTACCTTACCCCAGAACAGTTCATGGCCTGATTTACTGGGGGAAGAAAAAAGAGGAAGAGAAGAGTTGGAATAAAATGAAAGAGAGAATGGTATTCTGTGAATCTTCTGAATTCTAAAATTAGAATCCTCCTAAACAAATTTTTAAAAAATTATAAAAAGCACCTGGACCCTTGAGGTAGCATATCTCAATCTGTCTATACAATCCTCCTCACAAGAATCATTTTATTCTAAAATGACTTTTATTCTAAAAGTGGGCTGTTTGAAGGGAAGGTCGGCTCTGCTCTAGATTCCTGGAAGATGCTGAGCACACTGTTAGCTTCTTTTGGGCTAAGTGTCTTCCATCTAACTAACTGAAGAGACATCAGGGAGGAAAGTTCCCTGCCCCACTGCTTAGCAGGGGATTTTCTAGGACATGAGGGTCTCAAGACAGTGATGATCCTTTCATCCCACTAGAAGGCTCAAGGAAGGCAATACAGGAGTCCCCTCATTCTGGTCTCGTGTCAGACTGACGTGCCTTTGTCTACCACACATCTCTCACCCATGGCCCCGTCCTCATGGCAAATTCAATATGTCCCAAGCTGGACTTCCTTCTAGGGCAGCTTTTCCCCTTGCTCTCTATCTCAGTTAATGGCTTTAGGAAGGGTCTGTTTATTCAACCCAGAAAGCTGGGCACCTCTCTCCTTCCTCACGCATTGCAGCTTGTCAGTTCTCTCTTCCTGACACCTCTGTTTTGTCTTCCCCTTCTAGGCACCCAGCTCTGGTCTGAATGGTTTCTTATTCACGCTTTCTCAAAGTCCCCAAGTCGCTTTCCCTTCTGCATTCTCCTCCCTACCTCACCTGCCATTCTCTGCCCTATGCTCACCTTCCAACCGTTACCCACATCAGTGCCAGAATGATCTCCTTAAAACAACATCAAGTTACTCCTCTGCTGAAAACATCTCAGAGGCTCCTCGGGGTTTTCAGAAGGAAGATCATCCTCTTGGCACAGGCCTCAAAGCCTTCCTCACGTTCTCAAGACTTCCACCTTCTACCTCAAATTCCACACTGGCCACATACCGTATTCTCCACATATGCCAGGCTCTTTCAAATCCCCATTCTCGGAAATAAGTATAGCCTCTGCCTGGAAAGCCCTTCTTCCATATTTTTTCACATAGCCAAGTTCACTGCCGTGCTCATCTACAATGTCTGATCCCAAAGCTGCCTGTGCAGAGCCCTCTCTTCTGTCAGTTCGCGTTGCAGTGACCAGTCTCCCAGCCTGCCTTTCTCACTGGGTGTGAACTCCTTGAGGGTAGGAATCATCTCTGCCTCGTTTGCATATCCCAAGGGCATTAAGCCGTCCTATGCATGTAATACGTACTTAGCAAGTTGAATGAAATAGAAACAATGAAAAATAATTCTGTGCTCTGGGTTGGCTGTTTGGCTGCATCGTACAGGCGTACGATGTTCTCAAGTTCTCTATGTGAGAATAGGCTAGTTCCATGTTTTATAGATATTCAAAAGCAGAGAACAGTGTGTGTGTAGATATGTATGTGTATTAGTCTGTGTGTGTGTAGGAATGCATATGAATGTGTGTATGAGTGCACTCATATAACAGTATGTCCTGGCCTTGATTATGAGTATTATATTTCGGGAGATATTCTTATGATAAAAGTGAATGACAAGGTGCATTTTCAATGGGAGGGTGATGCTTTCTCTGGAATAATATCAAATTGCAGAAGAGTAGATTCAGCATGAGGAATTTGGGTTTGTGACTTGATGAATATGATCCTGATGTAGAGATTGGCACTGATTTGAAGCTTCTTTACCATAGGTCCTGCCCATGATATGAAATAATATTTAGGCTCTTCCCCAATCCCATATATTTAACAATTCAATTAGTCTTTCCCAAGTGAAGCATTCTAATTGATTATTTTTCAGTCTCTGTTGATGATAAAGATAATGGATGTTTTTGTGGAGTAAATTGGCTTCCTTGCCTAATATCTGTTTCTTGATGTCATTGCCCAGCAAATAAATGGTGAAGTGTACTGCTAAAAATAGCATGATGGCTGGCAGAGGAAAAAAAATAGCTGTGTTTCCTGACAGTGCAAATTTCACACTGTTTTAATTACCACAAACGTTCACTCCTGTCTCAGAGAGCTGGGCAGGAAACTGGGAATAGCAACATTTGTAGATGCGGCAGAAATGACAAGCCTGGATGTGGCCTCACGCCAGTGTGGCCAGGTCCCTGTGACATCCTCTGAGCACTCAAAGTCTGGGAGGTGAATGCGGACCCTGCGGGAATCAACCAGATGAAACTTGGAAATTTGTCCTGCTATTTGTGCTGCGGCTGCTTTGCAAGAAAAGAGAGAAACACCTGTCTCCCTAAAATAAACAGTTTGAATTTCAAACAAAAAAAAAAAAACCCCAAAAAACAAAATAAAAACACAGAGTGTGGGAATTTTATTGAGGCAAACACCTACACTATGTTCACAGCTAACAATTTTGGTAGTGGTAGAGAGAAACAGGAATATGGGTAAGATAGTCTCTAAATGCTAGACTTTCTGTCTCCCTCCACGGAGCATGGAGACCTTTCTTTCCAAGGGCTTGCTATCTTTCCAATCCCATTGCCTTATCTGTTTTCCCTCTGACATTTCCTTCTCCTTCCCATTACCTGGAACCACCTCTCTTATTTCCTGAATTCTGGCCTCTGTCAGGCTTTCCTGAAATCCCACTTCAACACAGCATGGCATAAAAATATTATTTGCTCCAGCATGAGGAATCCTCTCCTGGGCCTTTTGTTGGTTTTGAATTTGGGATGAGAAATCTCTGGCTCAAGCCCAGAAACCTCTACAATACTTTGTAGTAATGGAAAAAGCATGCACTGGCACAGGCATTTATAATTTATGCCAACCTCTCTTATACCTTTTCCCATGTGAGCATAAATCTCATTGGATTTAGACCCAATGAAATTGGAAACAACAGTATCTTATAATTACTCAGAAGAGTTTCAAGGCTTCAGCAGATGGTACAGAGGGAGAAATCTTCACTTCCCATAATGATAAAGATGTAGTTTTTTACAAAGGATAGAAGGTAAGCTTGCAAGCCTTAGAAAAGGCCCAAGAGGGGCTGGCAGAGGTCTGAGGACCCAGTCAGTGCCTCAGCTCTATAGACTACAAAGAAGTGACCCTTCTCATCTCTCACAGAGTAGGCATTCAATGAATATTAATTGATGGAACAAATGAACATTCAAACTAAATAAAAGGCACAAAAGGGTGCAACATGGATTAAAGAAAACTGTTAATGTTTTAATTGGAAGTAAGTTTAATAAAAGCCACCAATGTGGCCAGGCTGCCAAAGTTCATACCATAATGCCATGTTTTAGTACCAGAAGGCTACCCATACTAAAGAAAGTGTTCAAGAAACTTAAGTATCATAGGTAGTATGTCAGAGGAGACGTGTTTTAAGTGGTCCAAGAGGTAAACCCTAAGACCACATTGGTGAAAGTTACAACCACATAGCCATTAGCGTCATTAAAGAATTGTGTATGGAAGCTCAATTGTCAAAGGGGTGGACTGTGTTCATTATCAAATGGCCTGTACGTTCCAAATTCCCTCTTTTGGTCTGTTCTTTGAAACTGGAGCTGAGCTCTTTAAATATTATTTTCCTTTGCTACCCAACAAAGGAAATGGGTGTTAAGCTTTATCATTAGAGAAGAGTGGAGAGAATTGCAGGAGTTCAGTCCTTTCTTCCTGGTTCCAGTATGCTTGTTCAGCATTCTCCTGTGGTGAGAATGACTTTCCAATACCAGTCTCTTGCAATGCATGCAGTTTTCCCAACACTAAACTCCTGCAGTGTGGTGGCTTCCACAGCCTCAGGCTTTTTCAACATGAACCAATATCATAGCACAGAGAGGCCAGCAGCACCGAGGGCTTACATCTCATGGTACACCCAACCTCAGCTAGTTTTACAGCAAAGGGCCTCCAGTGAAACACCTCTGCATGAACAATTTTCCCTGTTCATAGATTTTCCCATGTTCATAGATGGAAGATTTCCAGCAAGTTTTGTTGGGATGGTGTCACATCAACTTTTTTTCTACACTGTGAGCTCTGGACTCTCTGGTAAAGTCTGGACCTCAGCCCAAGGGAATATTTTCCTAAGCTGTGCTTTCTTAGTCCTTGGCATAGTGGCTGCTCCTTGTATCTGCTATTCCTCTATCCTTTGGTGTTCTCTTTATTTCTTACTAGCCTATCTCTCACAGCTACAATCTTCTGTTATAGTTAGGAAGCCCTTGTATTAGATTTTCCCTTTAACATTACTATGTTGTTTTGCTTTATTGATTGGACCCTGACTGGTACATCTGGTAACTACATTAGGCCTTGAGAAATGGGTAGAATTTAGGTAAGCACAGAGGAAGAAGAATAAATATTCAAGGCAGAATAAAAGAATCAATTAAAGTCATATTTTACATTAACTTTATAAGAATGAAATAAATACACTCAATCGGATTATATATTTTTTGAGGCAAAGACTATGTCTGATTATTTCATATTGCTTGAGATATTGTAATTCTTGATGAATTACATCAATTTTCTTGATGAAAGAAAAAAAATCTTCTGGATATTGATTGGTCAATCCATTGAACCATAATTGAGACCCAGGAAGAAAAGCCAGTCCTCATTGCAGTGCTTTGCATAAATATGAAAAAATTTTTTAAAATATATATAGGAATATTAGTAATTAAAATACAATGTTAGAAGAAAGGTAATATTATGGACCAGGCTTTCTCCAAAAGAGCTCATAATCTACAAAGACCCTCAAAATCTTTACAAGATAAATGTTATTATTATATCTGCAGCACAGAGAGGTTATGCAACTTATTTAAATTCACATAACTAATAAGTGGCCAAGCCAGGATTTACACCAAAGCTGTCTGGCTCCAGAGGCCCTGCCCTTGATCACTACACACTACTACCTCTTCAGTAGGCTTACAGCTGTGATTATATACCACAACAGTAAAGATCTTTCCTTTCAGTTCTGTGGGAATGAAAGAGGGTGTCTTTTAAAAACACATTAAAGAAGGGAACTTTTTCTTCATAAATTGAGATGCCTTCCATTGAAGGTGAGAGAAACGATTTCAGAACTCTACTGTTTGAAATATTTTTTATCAAAACATTCCATATATTAATTGGTACATTTCTTATGAGGAATTGTATGTCCTGGGCTCTCCCCTCCAGAGCATTTACGTTTTTATCCCCATCCTTAAGGAGTTGTGGTTTTGAATTTTTGGGTGCCCTTTTTTGAGATTCAGTGTGCAGTAGGCAGAGCTCTTCTTTGGAACAAAAGTTCTTCCTGGATCTCCTACAATGATCTGTTTTCATTACATTCAAGAGCTGCTCTGATTTCCTTGCCCCATGATGAAGTAGTTGGAAACCCATACCAGCCCACATCCAAGTTTTTCATTTCTATTTGATGTGCTGTTATTCTGCATAATTTGGAGTCTAGGATGCATCTTCTGGACTCCTTGGATATTAATTCTTCATAAGACCCCACTTGGCCTAACAACACTTTTGAGTTGCCTTGACCTATAAAATCTTGCACATAGTGTTTCTTCCACCTGGAAATGTTTCTTTCCTTCTTTAACCTGCAAGATTCTACTCAAATGGGATGCCCTTTGTGAGGATCTCACAACAACTAGAGGTCCTAGACTTCATCCAACCATTTCTGTTAGGTCCTCTTCTGTTACTCTGGGGCTCACATATGCCTGCCTCCCCTCCAAGCAGTAGACTTTTGGAAGGCAGAGGCTATCACATGTCCATGTTTGTTTTCCCATAGCCTGATGTAATCAGTAGGGTACTCAGTAGACATACTTCACTTAAATAAATACGTGGATAAGTGAACGCGTTGGAGCCTTTTTCAATCCATATAGGATTTATGGACTTGGATAGATCATATCACCTCCTTTAACCTTAGGTTATCTTTAACAAGAAACAGTGTGATTAAGTGATCTCAAAGTTCCCTTCAAATCCTGGCATGGGTATGAAATTCAGTAACCATTTTTATATGTTGCCCTGTGGTTGGCTAAGAAACTTCTGCAAATCCAAAGCTTTTAAAATTATTCCAAACATTTTAAACAACATCATCCCTAAAGATCTCAGGGACAGGCATTCTGTTTATATCTACTTTAGAAAACCCAGGGGCTCAAATGTTAATAAAATTCTTTTGCCTATGGGCACAAGAATCCATCGTATAGTGAAAGAGAAAAGTCATGTTAACTATTTATGCAT